AAAAAAAAAAAAGGAAAAAGAAGAATTGATAAAATTAAATAAATCTTTAAAAAAATCATTACAGTTAATATTTGTCATGGTGTTACAGAGTTCCTCTTTGGAACATGGCCATTTATTGGTCTCTGCATTCTGAGACTGAGAATTGTCTCAGATGTGGAAACTGAACGAGGAATCACGAATTTCTATGAGGGCAACTACCTTTGTCCTCCTGCTTCTCCATTCTTGCCTATTGCTGATTATAGATGTCAAATCATGCTCTCATTGGCTGCTCTTTTAGTTTGCTAATAAGGACACCAGATTCTATTCACCATTTCTGCAACTTCTTGTGAGTCATGGCCCCTTGACAGTTACCCCAATATTACCGATAGTTACTACAATGGCAGCCTTCGGATTCTGGCAGTTGAGCATCATCACCTGGCCTTTATCATTTTGGTTACTATCCTATCCGTGTTGCAATGAATGAACCTAACTCAGTGACGGCTTCAGTTCTGATCTGCAAGAAGAGCCACCACTAAACTTCCTAATGTTGCTGGTGCCCCACTCCCCTGTGCATTTCTGATGGCTGTGGACCCTGCTGAGGGACACATTATCTGGTAGGCTCACATTACGATGCCACTGCAGCAAAGCCCTTCCAGATACCTTTATAATCTTTCCTCTACCATCTACATAGCAACTCTAGCACTTGCACTTCGCTCAGCATGGGCCATCAAGCTTTCTAGGCTTCTAAAAGCCACTATGCAGTGAGTTTGACCCATCCCCAGGGTGGGGGTGGGGATGTCCTTGTAATGATGATAAATCCCATGACCAAGAAAGTGCTCCGAGTTAAACAGGCTCTCTGTTCCTCATACTTTGCCTTTTACACTTCTATTATTTTTCAGTTTCTCCTCACTCTGCAGGACTGCAATAGGATTTTGAAATAACAAGCCAACGCCACTATTCTCGTAGGCACCATTTGCCCCATATCTTTCAAATGTCCCAGTCTTAACCAGGATGGATCCCCAGGTTTGCCCCCAGTGAAATCTCCAGCAATTGTGTGTAGACACTTAGTGCCAGGGATTACCCATTCCCCACATTCCTCTCGGGATCAGTTCCTTCCTGGCTGCCAAGCCTGTGTGAGCAGTCCCTAGTCTCATTTTACTGCCTGTTTGCTGGGGTCATTTTTTACCAACCGTGTCAGTTTATGTCCTGTGAGTAACAGACACCTAGACAAAATTAGATGCTCAAAAGATATTGTGGAGAATATGTCTGTGAAAAATAATGGAGAGAAGAGCAGGAGTAGATGGGGAGACAGTATAAACCACAAAGCAGGCTTGACACTTCTGACAGGAAAGAGGGAAGAAGAGAAGATGACATGGAGGAGCCCCAGGCTGTACTGCAGCTCTGAGAATGGCTTGGCCAGCGGCTGGGAAACCTCTCAGCAAAGACTGCCCGTTAGAGAAATCTAGTGTCAGGCAGAAATGGCCCAGCTATAGTATCCTGTTGTATTCAGTCACTGCCTGGGAGCAGCTTGGCGGGGGTGGGTGGAATGTCTCAGTATGGACGTTGCCGATCTGGAGGTAGCAGCTGGCTGGAGGCTGCCAGCCAACTACACCTCCTAAGCATGTTCTCTTGAACGGAGATCTGAGGGGCACACCTCCACATTCAAGTCTAAGTGGCAGAAACAGGAAGAAAATAAGCTAAGGGCAGGAGGCCAGCTGGAAAATGGAATGGGATCCTGCCAAGAAGCATTGTGGGTATAAGCAAGGGCATGGGCAAACAGAACCTTTATTTAAATGTGTGTGGGTTTAGTAGCCTAGTTTAATGGTGGAGCAGGCATGAATGAGTCCATGCACGTACATGGGCAGCCTCGAGAAATGAGCATTGACCAGAAAGACAAAAAACAAAAAATCTATAGTGGTCAGCAGATGACGTAGCAATTATGCCACTGGACTCCCACATTGTCAACCTTGGTTCAAGTCCCAGATGAAGTGGCGTGAAACTCACACCAAGCACCTATGTGTGCATGTCCAAAATCTCAGAAGGAGAATGGATAAGAAGGGATTTTGGCATGGTCATCTTTTCCCAGGGGGTGATTTCTCTCTTT